CTCTAGCCTCCCATATCGTAGAATAGTAAGGCTTAAGGTAGATTCCATTTATTTTTTGAGGGTGTAGCTCTCCATTCAGTGATTTAAGCCAATATCCTCCCCCTCTAAGCACTTCATGGATACGAAATGGTCCTTCCCAATTGGGAGACCATTTTTTGAATTTGGGATCTTTCTTTCCAGGTGGTAGAATTGCTTTCTAAACTAGATCTCCTTCTACTATGAAAATCTGGTTGTAGCCACTGTGGCCATCCATGAATGACAGAGTTCGATGGCGTGCTGCGCCATCCACCAGCAAATCTGCAATATGCATAGGATATTCATCTTTTGATGTTACCAGATTCGGATTTATGAAATCCACACTGTTTACACCATAAATTGCAAAATTTTAAATTAATGCCATGTGTAAAATATTTTTTATTGGTTGGAGGAGATTGAGCCATGTCAGATTTGGATTTTGGGCCCCATGACAGATCAGCACTTGTGTTGGCAAAAGAGGAGAGGTAAAGATAATTTTTTATGGAGTAATTATCTTCTTGAGACAAAAAGGGATAATGGGAGCTGGAAAATAGGAGAAGATTGCAGTTAAAAAGGGGGTTTTATCTGATAAGAGTACATGTGGCGAAATTTGCAAGGAGATTAGACCAAGTCAAAGGGTGAGTTGTCCCACTACTTTAAGAAACCACCCATGATTGAGTAACTGCAGAAAGTGGAAGTTACTGCCTACACAAGGAGAACAAAAAGGAAATTTTGAAAGGGAGAATAGACGGCTAGCCTTACTCAAACATCTGCAAATTTTTAGACTTTATTTTCTCTGCAATTTGTTTCCAGATTTCGAATTTCAGCACAGATTCCAGTAGAATTAGGTTGTTTTTCATCATTCCATTAGGCAAATTAATTCATGTATTCAATTCAACAATTTCCTTTCATGCAATGAACTTCAATCTTTCAAGTTTATGCAAGGTATTGTTCTCTTTCCATTTGCAATTAATTTAATGTTTATGAT